AATTTGTTTACATGGAGAGATGGTGAAGCTAGGACGCCTTTAGGGCCACTTACTTTTGAGGTAATTCCAGATAGTGCCAGCCAAGTCTGTCCTATGGTAGCCAAATGCTGACCCTAGGAGATGTGATCCAATTGCTATGACTTCACCATTCCTACAAGCTCATGCTCAATTACTGAAGAAGGTATACACTGCCTACCCAGATACGAATAACCTGGGAACATTATTGAAAGAGAGCGAGAGAGAGAAAGAGAGCGAGAAAGAGAGAAAGAGAAAGAGAGAGTAGGGTTGCAAGGGGACAATGATTAACGCATTATGTTGGATTGAAAGGCGTGACACGATATTGTTGCAGGAACAACCAGCATCGCCTACCCTTATGAAGGAAGGCTTAGAAATCTCAATTGAGGCAAATGGGAATCAAAGTGCATTGCAAAGTATGATCTCAGTTGTGGCATCAATACTACGTTTCGAGCTCCAACTTCCTTCAAAATCATTTGGCTAACCAAGTGTAGAGTACAAGCTAGACCTTACTTGCCATAAAGCTGGAGTCATTATTCAACACAGTTCCTAAGTTAGGAAGGAACATTCACCAGATAGGGGATATAGGAAGAAATTGCATGTTGCCTCAGTGCTCCTCAACACAGGAGGAATGTTTCACACGTTGTTTCCATGTTGTTTCCGTGTTATTTCCGTGTTGCTTTGTTGCCTACTTGCAAGGACTATAGATTCAGCCGTCATGGGGGTGAGATTTAAGTCAGCGGAAAGAACCAAGTAGTGCTTTGAATTACAACAGACCAGAAAATGCTGAATTCTATACAGGAACTGAACTGCGAAGAGCGGAATTGCTAACTATACACAACACCGACAACATGGGCCATTATGTATATATATTTAAAGATCAAGTGCACTGCACAATCGAAGCCAAGGCTCATTCTGGTTCTTGGAGCAGGCAGAGCCTTGTCCACTAAAACATACTATCATAGGTTGAAGGTGAACAGGAACTCAGGAGGTTTAAAACACACTGAAGTAAGTACGAAGGCCAAAGAACGCTAGAAATGCAAGACCTGCAGATACATACGCCGTATAAACCTACGTGAGAGGGTGGCAGAGAAGAGCCAGCTCAAAGGCTAGAAGATACGAATAGATCTTAGCCATGCAGGATAAGCTCAATGCGAGGGCGATAGGTGATGACCTGCGGAGGAAACAATACTTCTCACTATTACCAAAAATGCAATTGGTACTATACAACGACATATCTAATCAGAGCATACGCCAATGACATCCGAGCAAGATTGGGAGCCATTAATGTCATAACTATTGACATTATTGACATGTGTTAACATTCAAGGAATTACAATTATGCAGCTCATGTATGCCATGCAGATACACGGAATGCGATATCCGTATATTGTAGAGTATAAATAGAATAGAAGTTGACCTTCTATTTTATATAGTATTGCATATAGGGAGTAACTAGAATATATACAATTCAGGCTACAACAATTAACAATAAGTAACAATAATGTTAGATAATACCATTCAACAAAGGGTCTCTAAAGATGACATCGATGGGTTCATTACCACCCTTCAACAATAACATGAAGCAGCTACTGCTATGCTGCCGCCAAGGTGAAAGAAGTCAAGCTCGGAGTTCACGAAAACTAATGAGTGCCACTACAAACACAAATCGAAGGTGTTAAGAATACCAACGAAATACATCGATGTCATCTTTGGCTACCCTTCATGGAATGGCAGTATCCGACATTATTGTCATTTATTAATTGTTGTAGCCTGAATTGAATGTATTCTAGTTAACCACTATACCCAGCTACATAAGAAGGTAAACGTGTATTATACTTATACTCTATATGACACGGATATCGCATTCGGTGTATATGTATGACACAAAGAAACTGCATAGCTGTAAAACCTTGAATGTTAATACATGTCAACAATGTGTAAGTTTTGAGAAGGAACATATTGCTAGTTGATAGATAGCATTGGTGTAGTGAAATATCGTCGATGCTGCGAGCAGAAGTTACCATGTCCTAAGCTCCAGGTTCAGATGCGTTGGAATAAATGACTTGTGAGTTGGTGCCAATTTTTGAATGATGGTAACGAGCCCATCGATGTCATCTTTAGAAACCTGTTGTTGGTTGTCGTCATTGTGTTTACCTGCGGATACTCGTTGTGTTAAAGGGTGGTAAGGAATCTATCGGTGCCATCTTTCAATAGCTTTTGTTGCATGACGGTGGTTGACATTGTCGTTACTTGTTGTTCCTTGTTACTTGTTACTTGATTTGTATTCTAGTTGTTAGCAATCAAGGAATTACAATTATGCAGCTCATTTATGTGATACAGAAACCCGGAACTCCTAGAACCTTGTATTGTAGAGTATGAATAGAATAAAAGTTGACCTTCTTGATCTATGGGTTTAGATGTAGTATGTATCTACAATACAACCAATTCAGAATACAACAATTAACAAGTGAATAGTGTCAGATACTGCCAATCAACAAAAGGTTTCTAAGGTTGACATTGATGGGTTCGTTACCAATCTTCAACAGTTATCACACGTATTTCTCTAACCCTGTAGGATTATGCGGTATGATATCACCAGACAACGCCTTGTTTTTTGTGGTGTCAATACTCTCATCAGCGACTGCAGCATCACATCTTTGGCTTGCTTTCTTTCCAACATTTCCATTATGATTTCCCCAAAATTGGGCTAGTAATATGATATGAGCAACAGTATGTCTACTCTGAAGAGGCGTGCCTTGTGGTTTAGCTGTGCAGCCTTTCTGTCTCCGCGAATCTTTTCGGGAGTCTTCCAATTGGCTTCCATAACAATCCCTGCTTTTATTCCTTGTTTGATGTTTCAGTACAACTCGTGTGCATCCACAGCTCTCTGTAATGGTTTTGAAGCGTCTCAAATTTAAATTCTCGTTTCTTTTCCTCAAGACCTCTCCACTTGGCAGTCCAGCATCTTTGGT